GCAAATAGAGAGAATAGGAATATTTTATCAACCGTCACCTCCTAGTCATCATCCTATTCTTACTACTTAGTCATCAGCCTATTTTTGTCACCCAAATATATAGGATTTTAAAAAAATTATTAGGTACAGTATCACGGAGTGAAGTAGTTCTCATTTGTTTTTGCTGATCTTATCGCTGCCATGAATGCTCTTGCTGCCACCAACCGCAACTTCCGTCAAGCCGCTCGCATTCTTGGATTGGACTCCAAAATTGAAAAGAGTCTTTTGATTCCTTTCAGAGAAATTAAGGTACAATTAACCGATGTATATTAAAGTTTCTATCTTCTTGACGATTTTGATGCTCTGTTTAATTTTTTCATATTTTCACTCCCAAAAAAAAAAAAAAAAGAAAAAATGGAATTCCTATGGTAGGTTGACGGTGTTTTGATGTTGGATCAGGTGGAATGTACAATTCCTAAGGATGATGGAACGTTAGTTTCGTACATTGGATTCAGAGTACAGCACGATAATGCTCGGGGTCCTATGAAAGGAGGAATTAGATACCATCATGAGGTTTGCTTTTTTTTTTTAATGTAATCCTTTTGGTCAATGCATATTGTTTATCTTTAGTTACAGTGCACCTTTTTTTTTTTTTTTTTTTTTTTTTTTTTTTGACAAGTTACAGTGCACCTTTATAATTGGATTTTGCATTTCCTTAGAACTTCCACTAAAAGAATAAGGTCGAATAAATACCGGATATGAGTAAAATTACTGATTTTTTATCTTGTATAGATTGCAGTGTGTGTTCTATTCCACGTATGAGAAAGCTAGGATTTGTGAGGAATTGGAAGGTTAAATCCACCAACATCATTGCATTTGAATCTAATTATATGTGTAGTTTCTTTGATAATATCAGTTCCTCTTAAAAGGGGAATATTTGAATCTTAGCTATACTACTCTTGATATTGGTTTTCTTAGGGCAGGTGAGTTCCTGCTTATATGTGTTTCGATGGGTGATAAGCTTTCCTTAATGCTTTCAGACTCTATCGGTTGCTTGATGGTTGACTATTGACGCTAGATTCTAATAAACCAAATGCAATTATTTAGCATTGGAAAAAGATGGGGCAGAGTACAGAGGAATTGTTAGGAAGATTCACACAACCGACCCCTACTAGTTTGGAATTATGGTGTACTTGATCGATTATCTTGATAATCAGCTCATGTTATTTGGTTTAGCATCTCTGTCTGAAGAAATTTTTTTTCTTTAGAAGTTAATTTAAGTTGAGTACATGTTATCTACAAGATCAGGATCAAGCAAGTCCTCTACCATGTCATGATTCCTCCAATATATTCCTTTCAAATTAGTGCATTTCAATGTCAAACTCCACTCCTTTCTTATTTATTTATTTATTTATTTATTTATTTATTTATTTTTCATAGTTTTGCTGGTATCACCGAATAGCATTCTTTATTCTGTGCTGAGCTGTTGTAAATTTTCTACAAGGTTGAGCTTGATGAGGTAAACGCCCTTGCTCAACTGATGACTTGGAAGACCGCTGTAGCCAACATCCCATATGGGGGAGCTAAAGGCGGAATTGGCTGTACACCAAAAGATTTAAGCCTGAGCGAGTTGGAGCGACTTACTCGTGTTTTCACACAGAAAATTCATGATCTAATTGGAATTAATACTGACGTGCCTGCACCTGATATGGGCACTAACGCACAGGTTAGTAACAAAAGTCTATTTGCAACTTTGTCAAAATATTATTCCTTTTGAGCTTTAGAATAAGATGCACATAATATTCTATATGATGCTTGCTATTGACAGACTATGGCCTGGATTTTGGACGAGTATTCAAAATTTCATGGTCACTCACCTGCAATTGTGACTGGAAAACCGATTGTAAGCTTTTCATAACTTTCGAGACTTCTCCTATTTGGCTAAAATTAGAACAACTTTATACTATATGACTTCTCTATTCATCCTTCTTTCACCTTTTGTTTAGGATCTTGGGGGATCATTAGGTAGGGAAGCTGCGACAGGGCGTGGTGCCGTCTATGCTACAGAAGCTTTACTTGCTGAATATGGGATGAATATTAAGGATTTGACTTTTGCAATTCAGGTAGAATCTGCAATTAATCAGTTCTAGCACATTCCATTTCTTTCACCTGGCTATTCCACAGTATTCGGTCAAAATGATGTCATAAATATGTATTTGGATTCCTTAGGGATTTGGAAATGTAGGAGCGTGGGCAGGAAAGATCATTCATGAGAGAGGTGGCAAGGTAATCGCAGTGAGTGATATAACTGGAGCCATCAAGAATCCCAATGGACTTGATATACCAGCTTTGCTTAGTCATAGAGAAAAGACAGGGAAGCTCACCGATTTTGCCGGTGGGGATGTGATGAATTCTGATGAATTGCTAACACATGAATGTGATGTTCTCATCCCTTGTGCTTTGGGAGGAGTTTTGAACAGGTTCAACCTTTATCTTGCTCTGAAATTTATCGTTTAATTCTTGGATTTGCTTCTGTGTCAAGTGAATAGAGAAGTCAATATCAGTAATTTGTCACTTTATAAGTTGGATAAGGGACCATGACACATCCATCTCAAACTAATAAAGACCACATTAGGGGCAACCTTATTTTTCACTATAAATGATGTCATATGTTACAGATTTTATACTAGAATATGCTTCCATTAATTGATTGTACAAGTATTTACTTTGATTTTATGTCACCTTTTGTTACATTTGGCGAAACTAAGTTTTCCTTTCTCACTTCCAAAACTATTGGGGCATATGCTGCAGCCAATAAAAACGTCTTCGGTTTTTGGATGAGATAATGGGGAAAGAAGTTGCTGGTTAAATTTCTTCCTTATTCTTCTTTGTATTACCAAGCCATTCTTGTGAACTAAATGTACCTAATATAGAGTATCTTACTTGTCCTTGACGGTTCTTATCTTTTTGTTTGAAGAGAAAATGCTGATCATGTCAAGGCTAAATTCATTATAGAAGCAGCAAACCATCCTACTGATCCAGATGCTGATGAGGTAACACTTTTTTCGGGGATTTTGAGTCTTTTGGACTAGCATGATTATAGTTTTTCACATACAATTGCCTTCTGCAGATTTTATCGAAGAAAGGAGTAGTAATACTTCCTGATATCTATGCCAATGCTGGAGGTGTGACTGTCAGTTATTTTGAATGGGTTCAGGTAACTTTTGATATTTATGCCTCCCATACATTTTTGTTATTACACCAGGTAGCAGCATGAAGGGTTTAGGTTAACAAGTATTTTCGCGAAACGCATTGAGAGATGCAATAGTATAGTTAATTTGAGATCTTACATCTTTAGCAAGACTGTTTCTGTAAAGTTATTTCCTGAGAAAATATTAGTAGTTACTAAGTTTGTTGACAACTTAAGAAAAGAACTGAGATGTTGAGACAATTTGAAGTTTTTTGTTCTTAATATCTTCTCTGATATGCAGAATATTCAAGGATTCATGTGGGATGAGGAGAAGGTTAATGCGGAGCTTAAGAAATACATGACAAGAGCCTTCCATAACCTCAAGAGCATGTGTCATTCACACAATTGCAATCTTCGGATGGGTGCCTTCACATTGGGTGTCAATCGTGTTGCACGCGCCACACAACTAAGAGGTTGGGAGGCATAATTGCACTTTTTTTACCGCACAATGTACACATCCTGCAGCAGAAAGTGCGCAGTCTTTCTCCCAAGTACAAATGCTAGAATGCTCTACAAACTGAAATATGTACTGGAGACATTTTATTCATTACTCAAATAAAAGAAAAAAATAACTCGTCAATTGCTTTGGAATTCTGTAGTTTTCATTTGGCAACTTGGAGAATTTGTCCCTTCTCGCCGTTCTTAGGGATTCAGGTGCTTAACCGTCATTCTCTCATTTTCTAGCATGAGGGATACCTGTTATGGAGTAACTTATATTAAGGGCATGTTGAATGCATATTATTGCATTTGAACTTATTCTTCATCTTCGCTCTACATGGTAGGAGTCTTAACGTTGAAATAGTCAGTTAACCGCTGATAGTATCGTATCTGGTCAAGGACGGATGAAGAGTTGACAGTGTGGGTTTGGTAGAACCCAGTAGCTTGGCTTAAACTCTATATTTATATTTAAAATATCATTGAATAAGTACAGATTATCTATATAGAATCCACTAACTCAATCGAGCTAGAATCTAGAACCCATAAACTTCAAACCATAAGTCTTCCTTTGTTTTTGGTTCTATCAAATGACAAATATACCATAATTATATGGAGATACATACTAAAGGCCAAGGGTGAAACCACATGGTCGTAAGGGTGGTCGTTGAAAAATTATACTATGTATATAAGTACAATATTACATTTTAGAGTTATATAACACATATTGAACACCCTTTATCGGAAATTTTTTCACTTCTTTTAAATTACAATATTATATTTTAGAGTTATATAACACATATTGAACACCCTTTATCGGAAATTTTTTCACTTCTTTTAAATTACAATATTATATTTTAGAGTTATATAACACATATTGAACACCCTTTATCGGAAATTTTTTCACTTCTTTTAAATTACAATATTATATTTTAGAGTTATATAACACATATTGAACACCCTTTATCGGAAATTTTTTCACTTCTTTTAAATTTGAACACCCTTGGGGAAATTCTTAGCTTCGCCGGTGCCAAAGGCAGCAGGTTTCCAAATTCTTTGCTCCAAACTCATTGGGGTTCAATGCCCTAAAAAATAAATAGAAGATGCTGATTCACGGTGGTGCCTGTAATTTTATCCCTCTCGTTAATTATTTTCTTTAAAAAAGTCACCAAAAGTGGAAGTAGATATTGTCAGGAAGATATGGGCTGCCATGCCCATGATGTTGCAGAACTAGATAAGCTTTATTTATTTCAGAATGAGCATTTTTGCCACTTATCCTAACACCATCTCATTCAAGAGGAGAAGAGTTGAGCCAAACTAGAGATTACTTACAATTATGGCTGCTGTTGCTGTTACTTCATTTACACACACAGCTTACAGCTCTCATCACTTAAAGAAAAAACAATGGCCTCAAGCCAAGTGCATGAAGATTACCAATGTCATGACTCCAAAAGTTGAAGCACAAACACACTTAAACGTTGTTGAAATTAAAGACAGATCTTCTTTACTGGCTGATGATAATGCAAAGCCGACAAGGAATGATGAAGTTCAAGATAGTACAGGTACAGAGTCTCAAGTCCTAAGGTTTTCGGACGAGCGATGGAAGAACGGAACTTGGGATCTCAATATGTTTGTGAAAAATGGTAAAATGGATTGGGATAGTGTCATAGTTGCAGGTAAACAAAGAACAAATCTTTCTATTACTAAACCACAAAGATTGTTATAGTGAATTAATTTATTCATATTAATAATGTTGCAGAAGCACAACGGAGGAAATTCCTGGAACTTTTCCCAGAAGCAGCAACAAACCAAGAACCTGTGGTCTTTAGAAGTTCTGTTATACCATGGTGGGCATGGATGACGCATTCTCACCTCCCTGAAGCTGAGCTGCTAAATGGTTTACATTTTATAATCTAATGAATTCATAGAAATTCAATTTACCAAAAAATTTGTTAGCAAAAAAAAAATAAATTGTTTTTACTATTACTTATATGGTAAATTCATGGTCTTGCAGGAAGAGCTGCAATGGTGGGATTTTTCATGGCTTATCTAGTGGATGTTTTAACAGGGCTTGATGTTGTAGGCCAAATGGGTAATTTCATATGTAAAACTGCCCTATTAGCAACAGTTGCAGGTGTAATTCTGTTTAGAAAAAGGACAGATTTTGACAAGTTAAAGAAGCTAGCTGATGAAGCTACATTTTATGACAAGCAATGGCAAGATCAACCAGCTTCTACAAATCGTGATTCAAAGCAACAAAGAAAGTGAATTCTTTTTTTGTGTTTGGGATGATATTGACTTCTTGTACTCTACTTGTCAAACCAAAATGCCATTGTTATATACAAGAATTATGTTATTATATTCAGGCTACTTGTTGAGAAATTTATACCCTCAAAATTTGGACTACAAGTACTGACTTAGCATAACATATCGGCAATTACCTGAGTTAACAATTAGTAAAATTTGTGAAAATCTCATAAAATGGAATGATCAAAAGCTCATATTTCAACTCAAGATTACCTAGCTATATACAAGAAATGTTATATCCAGACTATATTTTTAGATATTTATATTCTCAAAATCTGGAATAAGCCTGTCGACGTAGTTACACATAAGTAGGCAATATTTTGAAAAAAAAAAAAAAATCAAATACCTAGCAGCAATAGGTATTTTACGAAACAGGCAACTAATTAAATACATTCTTAGCAGCAAGCTATAAATATGAATCTAGAATCACTTTTTAAAAAATTCCAAAGCATTCAATTCCTAAAAAAAATCCAAAGCGTTCCCGTTCTTCTCCTTAAGCGAAGACACTTCCTAAATTAGCGCCGAACAATAACGATAAGATTAGAGCATTTTTTGTTGCTACTTGCTACGTGCATATATGAGATTACTCTATTTCATTTTGAAAACATAGCGTACATTTATTTTCCAATTTTTTTATGTATCTTACTTGTTACATATTAACATGACCGTGCAAGTTTTTGTCAAACAATATCGAATTAAATGGTATAATTATATATACTATTGGTATACAGTTTTATTTTTAATTGTATGTCAAGATAAATTTCAAAACAGTATAATGATAGTATAATAGTTTACAATGGTATTTTTAGTATAATATACAAATTATACTGAACAGTGGCAGAGCCAGAATTTTCATCAAGGGATGTCAAAATATAAATAATTAGATACATCGAAAAATCAAGGGGAGTCAACGTATAGTAAATATACATAAAATAAAAAAATTTATCTAGCAATATAGTGTAATTTTTCGGTGAAAGAGTGTCGCTTGACATCCCTTGATTCAACGTGGCTCCGCCACTGATACTGAATCCTTCAGCCATTATATGTATGTATGTATGTATGTATGTATGTATGTATATATATATATATATATATATATATATATATATATAGATATAGTGTTTTAATGTAATAATATTTGATAGTTAAATATATACATGGAATAAGTATATACATGTTATGATAATAGTGTGTGTGTGTGTGTCTATTTAGCATTTTAATACATATATGTATATGACATATTTTATTTATACTATTCATATAAATATTCAAAGAATATTTTAAAATGCTAAATTAAAGGAAACAAAATTTAGAATAGAAAAAGAGAGAGAGATTTGAATTCTAAATCTAGCAACTAAAATTTAGAAAAGAAAAATAGGAGGAGAGAGAATGTACGAAGATAAATAAGGATAAAACTGATCCCATAATTTATGTTACTCATTAATTGTGCACATAATCTTTACCATATGCTAATATTATAAAAGAACATGCTATATATGGAATAAACAAGAGTAACATCATTTTTTTAAATACTTTTTGAAAGATGCCTCTTAATGTATTTTTCTCTTCTTTCTTTTTTAATTTGGGGGAATTCACAAGTGGAGGGATAAAAAACGCACATTCAATGAATTGAAGGTAAAATTATGTTCTTAGATCTCATAACAAAAATTTCTCAACAGTTATTGGACTAAACCACAAGGTACTGTAAAATAATTATTTAACTTTTTCAAGTTTTTTATTTCTTTTTAGGGATGACACATAAACACCCACCTATGCTTGGTTCGATTTTTCCGGTGACATCGGAATTTTGCGGGGATACTATGACCTATATATTTGTTCAAAGTAGTATTAGTATAAATCTTTTGAACTCATCTGATATTGGCAGTGTTTGCACATAATGTAGCTTTAAGAAAATTCATAAGTTGCCCCCTACTTTTTCCTGAAACAATTATTTACACTCCTTAATTTTACGAATAATCTAATACCTCTTATTTCTTGTCCAAAGTTGAAATAATTCCTTTCTTAGAGCTCCGACTAATTCTAATTCGCGCCACGCCCATGTAAGGCGAAAATGCTCCCTAATAGCATTTTTTTCATGCTCAAGACTCGAACTCGAGTGCTCTTATTAAGGACGGATGGATCTTATATTCCACCACAGCCCTTGTTGGTGGCATACACACATTTTTAAAACTAGTGTTGGTAGCAGAAAGTGGTATTATAGCACTTTTCAAAAATATAGGTAATGTCATCGGGCCATACAAAGCTCTGATTAGGGGTGTACATAGGTCGAGTTAGTTCAGATTTTTCAGTTATCAAACCAGACCGATAGTGTGGGTTTTTAAATCTATAAACCAGACTAAACAAACAAAGTCGGGTTTTTCAATGTCAGTTTTGCTCGGGGGTTTTTTGATTTTTTTCGGGTTTTCTGATTTTTCTCCGGTAAAGTCTTCATAGCACAAAATATGCAACTTGTGCTCTAAATATTTCTTTAGTACTAATAAGATACAACTACAATGAGACCTCTCTATAACAATATCCTTATTTAATAACACTTCTCTATAAAAGCCAAATTTTTCCGGAACCAAATCTCATGTTATAGTATAATATATATTTTCTATGACAACAATTCGCTATAACATCCAAAAAATATCCGGAATAAACGAGGTTGTTATAGAGAGGTTTGACTGTATATAATATATTTTTCAAGAAAATAACACAATAATATGAGATAAGTCATAACATTATACTTAAATATTCAATAACAAAGATAATAAAATTGCATAAATACAATATTGCTAATTAATAAGCCATAATAAAAATTAACATAATCTAAAAATGCTATATATAAGTCATGCTAAAATAAGTATGGCTAATACGTACTATTAATTATATAATCAAACACTAAAGAAAAAGATAAACTAAGTTATGCATTTTTTTATTATAAACCAATGTAAAACTAAAAAATAGATATTCAACACTATCGTCATTCCTAGTGCCGAATTGAATTTCTTTTGTTAGCATTAGTATTGATTTGAACTTTGTTTGAGTTACTACGTTTATGGGCGATAAAATTTATTTACCATTCAAGAATGTTAAGTCCAAACTTGAAATAATGCGTTAACAGATAAAACTGTGAAAAAAATTAAGAAATATTTATAAATTATATTACAATAAATATTTATATGTATAAATTATTTTTAAAAATTGTATAAATGTATTATTTGGTTGGTTTGGTTTCGGTTTGACTATTTTTAGTTAAAACCAAATCAAACCAGTCATGGTCAGGTTTTTTTTTCAATACCAAACCACAATCGAATTTTTTTCCAGTTTGACTCGGATTATCGATTTGGTGCGGTTTATTGATTTTCTTTGTACACCACTAGTTCTGTTATGTAACTGAAAATTCAAAAAATAATAAAAGGTACTTACATATTATCACTTTTTATTTCTTACGGATATAGCTCTGAAAAATAAAAAGACATATGCCAAGATTTCTACATTTAATTGCTTGAATAATATCTTTTTATTAACCAGATACTTAATTCACAAAAATATAATAATTACATGGGTGGCACCATAGAGGAGCTGTCCAGTTGGACAGTATTGTTTGGAATAGTAGTAGCTATATTACACGCCAAAGTTTTTCTAATGAAAGTAGTTCGTAGGATGTCTGCCTATAGTGCATCATTGCAAACACTAGAGGAACTTCCAAAATTTCGGTATTGTGAAAAACCTTTTTTTTGCTCCTTCCTTAGCCAGTAGGTCCGCCATCCGGTTCTGTTCTTTGAAGCTATGGTTGATGGCTAGGTTCCCCAGTTGAATCTTCAAGGACTTGCATTCATAAACAAAGTTATCGTAAGGAATATGACCATATTTTAACATTCTAATCATCTCAGTTGAGTCAGTGTTGATCACAAGGGGAGTTAGATTGTGTTCCTTTGCTAGCTTTATCCCTTCTAGCAGTGCTAGCAATTCTGCTAGATTATTTGTCATGGTTGGGTAGCCCCTCATATGACTCATAACCCAGTTTTCTGAGATATTCCTAAAAACTCCCTATGCCTCCTGACCCTGGGTTACCCATGGAAGAGCCATCAGTATTGAGTTTGAAGTAGCCTCTATCAGGGGGTTCCCATTTAACACTGATGGTGGTCCAATTTTTATGAGGTTTATTCTTTGCTAGCAGATGATATTCAGTGCCTGTGCAATGACAGTTTTGGATTGGACATGTTCTTTCCTCTTATTGAACATGTTATTGTTTCTTTTAAGCCAAATATTCCAAAAGCAGAAGGCGTGAGGAAATGCCACTGGAGGAGATGATTAAAGGGCTTGGCCTTTAGCTTGTTCCATGTTGTATTTCATGTATCAGGACTTAATTATAAGTGCATGGGTTGGTCATTTGCATAGGTATAGATGTTATTCCAGAAAGATGTGGCATTAGGACGGAGGAAGAAGATATGGTCTATGGTTTCCTTAGTTGTATTGCACACTTGACAAGTATGATTTATTTGGAGGCCAATGTTGTTTAGATACTTGTTGGTGGGCAGTCTGTTGTGTGTTAGAAGCCAGGTGAAGAATCTTTTCTTTTTGGATGCTTCCAGCTTTCAAATCCAGTTAAAATATAGGTTATTCCTTGAGTGAGTACTCCACTGGGGGTTCAACATGGAGTAAGTTGTTTTGGATGAGAATAGTCCATTTCTAGTAGCACCCCAGATGAGTTTATCTTCTTTAACAGGGTTCAGGCTGGGAATAGTATGATGATGGTGGGAGCCAATAAGTCAGGGAGAGGAAAGGAGAGTGAGCTTAAGTTACCGTTCCCATTATTGAATATAGAGGATACTTTTATGTCAGCTTTCCCCAATGTCTTGGGGCCACTGATGACGGAGTCAATTGGTCCCATATTAGGAATCCAGGAGTCAATAAGGAAGTTTACCCTATTACTATTGTTGACAACCCACCTAGAA